ACTGGTATAGAATAGCCTGTAAAAAAAAAAATAGCAAAATCATACAACTCTCACCCCACCTACAAGCTTTAATCAGTGGATGAATTAATGAAAATTTCAGTTATACAGTCTGTGGGAACTAATCTGATCCAGCATGGCAAATTTAATTGGTGGAGTTGTAAATTAATATTGTTGTGCTATCTTGCTTCTGGTATGTTTCAGCAACATGAAATGAAAAAGTAAGTACTGTATTAAATAATGTGTTCTTTTAAAAAGAGTAGTAGCATTTCTTGTTAAATAATAGGCTGTCTTACACTTCCTCTAATTCTTCCAAGTTGGAACCTATAATAAAGGTTGGGTAATACGCCAGACCTAAGTATTAATCAATTACTTGTTTTAATGACAGTTGACAAATTGCCGAACCTTTCATTAGTTGGCCAAGAGCCTTAATAAAGAAGCCTGTTTGTGGACACTTTCCTTCTGTACCACCATGTTAATGATGAATCGGCACACTTAATAACATATAAGCATTTTACTTCCACAGCAGGCTTTTAACTGTGCAAAGGCCTTGCCTCAAACATGGACCAGAATCCTGTTGGTGGTTTACGTGTACGCAAGTTAAATAGCATAATGCACCACAATGAAATGCTCCTTTCTAATGAGATACTGAGTGTGATGTAGTGGATAGAGTAATGGGCTGGGATTCAGGAGGCCTCGGTTTGCGTCCCTGCTGAGCCATGGAAACTCTCTAGTGGAGCAGAGCTGGTAAAATAAGACTAATTGCATGCTGTCAAGTTAATTCCAATTTATGGTGACCCTTTCCAGGTTATTCTAGGTAAGGAACACACAGAAGCGGTTTACTGTTCCTTTCTTCGAGAGGCTCCCTGGGACGGTGCAGCTGGCCCACGGCCACAAAGGCTGGTTCTGTTTACAGGAGGCACAGTGGGGAATCAAACTCCTGACCTCTGGCTCCACGGTCAGATAGCTAAACCACGGAGCTATCCAACCAGCTGGAACTGGTAAAACCACTCCTTAAATATCTCACCCTGAAAGTCATATTAGGGTCACTATATGTTGGTTCTGACTTGACAGCACATAGCATAAGAAATGAGACACTGGTTGCATTATGAGATGTGTATTCAATAAAGTGACCAGTACCTTGTTTGTTGGTCTCAATTTGCTGTAGTTCACGCTTAAATCGGGAACAGAATTCTGGACAAAGGAATTTTATGAGGAGTCTAGGGCATCTTGTCCCACCCTTCCAGTGTCTTTTTTCACTACTTCTTTGTTTTTCTCTGGATGCTTTCAGAGGGTAGGTTCCTAGCACTATCAGTCCCAGAGTGGCACCCATTCTGTTTTCTTTAACCTAAACAAACTTTGTTCGGGTTAGAAAGAAGATGCAAAGCAAGGTGAGGAAGAAAAAAAAAACCCAGACAGGGAGATAGGCACCTGTATAAAATTCTGTGTCTGAGGCAGAACTGCCCCAGGGTAAAGTTTTCTTCAGAAAGAAACGCCACGGCCAGAAAAAAAAAGGCAGATGAGCTCCACTGAAATCTTCTGACCTGGTAGCACAGGAACCACCCCATGTTTCACCTGTTCAGACATCATGACAAAAGTTTCAGGCAACATGAGCGCCTTGCGAGGTAGGCCAGTATAATTGCCCCCTTCCTCTACTGCAGGCGGGAAATGGCAGGGGATTGTGAAAACGGTCTAGGCTAGGATTAAGGGCCGCCACAACTGACCTGTTAGGCAAGTTTCAGCCCTAGCAACAAAAATGCCCACTGGATGTTTCCCCACACACACACACATCCAAAGCGGAATAGTGGGCTGTTAGCATGATGGGCATGCACAGCGCAAGTCAGTCCAATACAGCGTGTCTCTGTATAGTAAGTTAATTAATAAAGGTGTGACTGCGTTAGGCAAGTTTCAGCCCTGGCAACAAAAATGCCCACTGGATGTTCCCCCCCCACACACACACATCCAAAGCGGAATAGTGGGCTGTTAGCATGATGGGCATGCACAGCGCAAGTCAGTCCAATACAGCGTGTCTCTGTATAGTAAGTTAATTAATAAAGGTGTGACTGCTCCCCTTTGCCTCTCCCCCCCCCCCCCGCTCCCAACGGCATCGATCCCCGACGCTTCTCGGTTTAGCCGTGGAGCCCAGGAGACCTTCGGCTGAGCCAGCCTTTCTGCGGCCAGAGGGCGAGCCTCGTCTGGATGACCTCTGGATCCCCCCTTCCAAGCCTGCCGCCGGCGGGCAGGGCCTGGCCGGGCCTCGGCGCGGAGCTCCGCCTTCCAGGACGCGGGGCTGCTCTGCTCGAAGCCGGTGCAAAGCGAGGGGGTTGAAAGGCGGCCAGCTGCCCTCGCCGCGGGATCGGATCCAGAGGCTGCGGTTCTCCGCCGACAGAGGTCCCTCCCCGGCCGAGCGGGGGGCCCCTTCGCGAGGGAAGGGCGAGCGAGCGGGCGAGGAAGTCCCGGGAAGAAGCGCAACCGGAGAAAGAGCGTTGCGAGGCGGCGAGTTCTCACTATGGTGCATGACACAAGCTGGTTGTGCATTACATACACAACCTAAAATAATATGTTTGAGCCTGTGCAGACACAAATAAAGGCCGAAACAAAAATATTAGATTAGACAATATACAATTTAGCCTCTATATTTCTGTCTTCGTCATATTGCAACAAACATGAATATAGGGCACTTTCCGGGCGATCCGGCGAAGGAGGCGAGAGAACCCTCCCTCTCAGAGCCAAGAAGAGAAGAACCGAAGGCAAGCTTTCCCGGGATCTTTAACTCCCTCTTAGTTTAGCGCGCCCTCCGGGGAGGCAGGTCCGCCTCCAGAGCCACCCACCAGGTGGGTCCTCTTCTCGGCAGCCGCGACTCGATGCCTCTCTCTGCCCCTCTGACTTGTGTGAAAGGGGACTTGGGGGGGGGGAAGAGATGTTTCCTTGGGGGCGCCTGCAACTGTGCCTCTGGGGCTTGGGGCCCATCGGGAAGATCCGGATCACCCCCACCTTTTATTCCCCCTTTCCTGCTTCAGATTCCCCCCCTTTCGCGGGTCAGAGGGCTTGTAATCAAAGCGGGGGGGAGGGGGCGTAATTGGAAAACCATGATTTCAAACTGCTGCACAGCTGGCCCGTGGCTGTGTCAGGCTCGCAACACAACCGAGGCAGCCCCTTTCTCGTTTATCGTTGCCAGAGAGAGACATTTCGGTAGCTAACCTCCCCCCCCCCGCCATCCACTTACTCCGGATTTCTGGAGTATTTATGGAGAGCATCTGTTGAGCTGTGCTTTTCCTTGCTCCCTCCCTCTCTCCTTCAAGGAGATGAAATCTGGGGGTGTTGTTGATGTGGGGGTTGCATCCGTTTGGAGAAATACAGTACTGGATGGGATCCCACATGCCTCTCTCCCTCCCTCCCTCCCTCCCTCTCTCTCTTTGTGTTCAGGGCAGAAAGGTGGCTTCTCCCTACAAGGGCCCCGGGGTGTGTGTGTGAGATCTCAGGGTGGCGGTGAAGGTTTAGAGGTACCCATAAAGAGTAGTAGAGGATCAGGCTGTCGTCCTTTGTACCTGAGGGCTGCAGGGGGGAATGATAAGGTCGGTACCTAGTCCACCTCCACCTTCCTAGTCCTGCTTCATCCCAAACGTAAGCGCCGCGCTAGGCATGGGAACAAAAACGAGCCTTAAACTCTTGTAGAGCTTGAGAGATGTGCCCGTACACATGGTTTCTGTGTCTTGCGTTGACGTACATAGGAGCCAGCCTATACTGTGAGGGAGAGACTTCCCTACCCCCACCTCGCCAACAGCCCCTTCTGCGGAGGGAGAGGAAAAGCAAATGGTTCTAGAAAACTGGGTTGCCGACCCCCACCCCCATATTTGTCACCTGGAATGCCTTCTCTGCCTGCACCCCTGGTGATCTGTCCACCTTGACACAGGGAGGAAACAATCCCCCCCTTCACTAGGACACAAAACTTGTTGAAAGCTCTCTTAAATCACAGCTACCCTGCTCTCCTTGCTCACTGTCATGTGGGTCGCTATTATGTAGGTCCCCCTTGTGCTTGTGTGTAGGGACACATAAAAGTGGTCTGAGACAGTTATTTGTTTATTTATTTGTTGCATTTATGACAATTATGGCGTTTATAATTGGTTTCTGCTTTTGTTCAGCTGGACTGGGTTGCTGTGGCCTCAAGTCACACTGTTCCCTTGGGAAGGACAGACACCCTCCCCTCTCGGTGAGAACCGAAGAAGGGACACTGCCTTTGTCTGATCTGGGTGCTCAGCTCTCTGGTTTGCATCCGGCGAACCCTTCTTTTAGAACCGGTTTGGCCCATGCTCCTTCCCATCGTTTCCTATTCTGGACTGCTGGGGTTTACAGGATCTTGCCCCGGCGGCTGCCTCGGTGGGAGATTCTGTGGGATGTTCTGCATGTTGTGAGGTGGGAGTATGTTTTCGTGGAGTCGAAGGTGATTTGAAAAGGGGGCTCACCATTTGTGCCGTTTATCCTCTTTTTACTCTCGGCCATGCTGAGCAGGGTTCTGCCTTCCCGCAAAAATCTGTCTGGTCCAGAGGTAATTGTGGGATAAAGTAAATTGTATGTGGAACATGGGAAGCGGTGCTGGTGCTCGTCTCAAAGCATTTTCAAGTCTCTTTGAATTTGCATAATTTATACGGTCTAGGAGCAGCTTAAGCGTCTAATCTGTTGGGTGTGAAGGAGGCCTGCGTGTGAATGATTGCAGCTGGAAACTCACTAATGTAGCACGTACAATGATGACATACCCCCGCTCTCTTTTTTTCTGGGGAAGAGTAGCCCAGTGCTGTATAAAATACTCTTTTTTGGGGGGGGTATGGAATTGGGTAATGTACGAGAGTTGCATAGTGGACTGAGATTCATCCCACCCTCTAAAATGGCTGAGTGACTGAAAACCATACCTGAAGTAAACATTTTCCTTCCCTCTGAGGGGAATCCACCGCTGCCACAGGCACAACTGGGTAATTGTTTGATGGTTCTTACGGTCTGGTAGCGTGTCTTTCTGTTCCCCACGTCTGGTCTCTTTGGCTTCAACTTGGGCAAGTTGCTTCTTGCTCTCCCGTCACGAGGGGCCTCACAGGCAATTGTTCTCCCTTTGGGCAGCTTTTAAAATATTTGAACGCTTCCAGCATGTATCTTCTTAATCCCTTCCCCCATTCCTTTGGCTTGTCGTCGTAGGCTGTTTATGGGCTCTTTTATTCTTTCCTTATCTTGTCTGAATGTTTTCAGTTTTGCCTTTTTTCCTAAGAATATTGTGGTGAAAAAAATCAAAACGACAGGGCCGGTCTAATTCACATTGGTTCATCTGTACAGCTCCCTTCTGTTTGTCACATTTAACATGGGGCCTGGTGTGCCAAGGAAAGTTTATCTGAGGAAAATTCATGGGAATAAGGGGAAACGGTCTCCGTTACGTAACCCGGGGGCTCCCTCTGCTCGGTGAACTGAAAGAACATGAACCGTCGATGGAGCGCTGCTGTGCCCCTGGGTGGTGCCCTTCCTGTTTGTTCCACTGGGGCTTGTGCCAGGGCACTGCTCTCTTGGATTGTGCCACATGGATCAAATCTCTTGCCCTCTTTCTGGCCCTCTGCTGTCTTTAATGGCACCCAGAACTGGCTGCCTATGTGGGCAGAGGGAACGGCCTCTATCAAACACAGTAGTCCTTCTGAGGCCAACTTTTCTGCCTGGAGTGATGTTGCTTTCTGTGTCTTTCAGGGGTTCCATGACGTAACATGGAGGCTGAACAATTTCTTTGTAATGGAGGCATATTTCTAACTCCAGTAAAGACCGTGAACCGGTTTAACCCTTTCGCTACATACTTCCATACCCCCATTGGTTTTCCTGCTAGCATTTTTGGTGTTGCAGATTCCCATATTTTCAAATGGCTCATCTAAAACAACCCAAAGACCCTTCGTGAAGGATGCTTAAATCTATCTAGTCTGCCATCTTCCGTGTTCCCTACAATAAGGGTCCTCAACCCCTGGTCCACAGCCTGGTGCCAGTGCGTGGCCTGGGCCGGACTAGGCCACGGAGACAGATCTCCCACCCCCCGCATGTACTTTCCCCCCTGCACAGCCCCTCCACGTCTGCGCATGCGTGTGCGAGTGCCTGCGCGAGTGCCTCCCACTCCTTCGCGCATGCGTACAAGTGTGCATGAGTGTCCCCCGCCCTTTGCACCTGTGCACAAGCTTGAGCACCCCCTTACTCCTTTGCACATCTGCGCAAGTGCACGCGCCCACCCCTTCATGTGAGCGTGGGGGTGCCCCGCCTTCCCCAACTGTTCTGTGGTGTTAAAAAGGCTTGCTATTGCCTTACAATAGCAAGCCAGATGCTTCTTGGAAGCCCCCTGAAGTTTATTATGATAGTGGGAGGGGCTTTGTCTGCTAGACCAGAGCCAGAATTAGTAATTTTGGCATTTAGGGTGAGTGGCAGTATTTTCAACTCCTCTACGCATTGGCATTCCCTGCAAAAGGAAAGAGGGTGATGCCCCCAAAGCATGAAAGTTAATCCTTATTTAAAAAATAGAAAACAAATGGTGTTGGGAGCTGTTGCTATTTATTTTCCTAATACTCATTGGTAGATTCACATCTAGATTTTTTCAGTGTCTCAGTTTCGGTGTCCTGGGGCAAAGCCCTGTTGCTCTACCCTTCTTATAGGCCTGAGCTAGACTCCTGAGTCAGAATGACTTAGTCTCTTCCCCTTATATGTGACCTGAGTCGCTTTTCACTAAAATGCTATATTGAATGTATTGATTTAAAAGAAATAGGAGCTTCCCTTTGGGTTAAATCTTCCCAAGGCAGTGTAATAATTTAAACCACAAACAAAACAATTTAAAAAATATAGTCATAATTTGAAGTTATTAATACAGATGTTGCATGATCCTTCGCTGAGTACTAGTACAAGTAGCTGAGCAGCTGAATTTTATGGGTCTGTTTCCTAACTGTCTTTAATAGCAACCCCATGTGGAGCTTATTAGACTAATCCAGCCTGGATGTCAGAGACTATGGATACTCAAGCAAAGTGCATCGTCTCTGGATTACTGAGTAAAAGGATATGGAGTAAAATTTTTGTTTTCATCAAAATAAGCTGCCTTGATTTGATGAGAATTTTCTGTCCTGCAGGTACAGTGAAATATGAAGTTCTATTTTTTTTTCTAGTTAGAGTCTATAATTTGTGCAAAATGAGTGACCCTTTCCCTATGAGCAGAGCAAGCCCAGGAGGACGAGCTGACAGTCATAAAAGATGCAGATAGCCCTTTCTGAGATATCTCAGCCTTAAACATCAGTGCAACAAAGCAGTCATTGTCATTTTGTGCAAATTGTATTATTTTTCTTAAATCTGCAGTCAAATGTTATTTGCACAGTTTTGCTCAATTTGCACAAGAAAGCATTTTCGTTCACATCTCTTGCTGAGAGTGCCACTAAATACAGTATTTTTGCACAATGGGGAGAATAATTTTACAATTCCTCATCCTCTTGCACATGTAGAAAAGACATGAGAATTTACATCCCTACAGAGGTTAATGTATCAGTATCACTCGATAAAACATACTTATAGCCACTGCTGCCATTCTTAAGATTCGACAGCTAGTGGTGAGTCCGGAAGAACTCCCAGGCGGCATGCTTGGTCTTTCGTGGTGGTCCTGTTTACAGCCAGTTGCAAGCCATCATCTGGACCAGTTGACTTTCCTATGTGCAGTACCCTTCTTTTATCTGTTTATGCAGTGTTATAAACAGGGTAAAGCAGAGCCCTCTAGCTGTGCCTGCACTATTAACATTTGTTACCTTCCAACCTGTAGAGGGCAGTGAGTCTGATGAGAGAGAGCCCCTGC